GACAAAAGAAAAAAGTCAGAGAATGCTCATCAAGATCCTTGGCCTAATCACTCTGAATAATATATTTTAAGCCTATGTATCTTTTTTTCAGAACCCTTAACCTCAGCCTACATTACACACCTTGAAAAGCCCATTTTGATTAAATGTGGATACTTGAATTGAAGAGCAATATCCTTGAATTTATATATATTTGTTGAATTCTTCATTGATAAAAAAAAATAGCTCTAAGGTGAAAATCCTAAAAAGGTACTTTAGAGCTAAAGCCATTTTTGAAGCCTCATAATAAATTTCAGAGTTTCAAAGTTCTATCCAAAATAAAAGGTCTTGATACAAAGCCTTTTGAAGGACCAGTACCCATTAAAGACCTTTCTTAAAAAAAAAAAGCCAGCCTTATCTTCTTCTCAAATCTTGTTTGAAAAGTAATGGCTAGTTTTGACTCACATTAGAGTATCACGTTTTCAATAAAAGAAGTGTTTTAAAAAATTATCTCTTTTGTGAGCTCAAGAGAAATTCTTACAATCCTTGTCGAGCTTTACATAAGATATGCCACCAGTGAAAAAATTTAATTGTCAATTCCCTCACCCATGAGCCTTTTAAATAGTAATCATCAATTTTTAAAAGATTCAAAGTCTTGAGTTTTAAATTTTTTTATTCAATTGCAAAGATACTTTATGTGGGTAAATTTTGATCACTTTTAAAATTTTCAAAGATTATTTGAGTATTTTATACATAATACTGAGATCATTTTTTAGGTGAAAATGAAACAATGAAAATTTAAACATAAATTTTTTTTTAAAAAAGAGAGGTAAGAAGAGTCTTTGCATTTGCATCGCTTACATTTGCATCACAAGAAAGACACTTGTATTTGCATTACTTGCATTAGCATTTGTATAAGACATTTACACTCACAACGTAAGAAGAATTTGTATTTGCATCATGGCATCTGTATCCTAAGAAAAGGTATTTGTAGGGGCATCTACATGAAAAAGACATTGTCATTTGCATTGTGAAAAAGTCAAATGTATCAAGCATTTGCATTCTTACGTTGGCATTGACATTTGCATTGACATTTCCATTAGCATCATTTGATGAGAATAGACATTTGCATTTATCAACTTTGTAAGTATTAAAAACAAAAAAAAAGAGGGCATGTTTTTAAAGTTTTAAAGTCTCTATTTAAGATGAACCGTTCTCAATCAAGATTTTAAAGCCTCTGTTTAGAAGAAACCTTTCTAAAAAATTACGAGTCTCAAAAATCTCTGATCAAGCGAAAGTCATGTTTTAAAAAATTTTAAAATTTTTAAAGTTTCATTGCCTCTAATTATGAGGAGCATTCAAAGATTTTGAGATTCTGTAAGACTTCCGGGTATAATTTTAATTCGTGGTGTTATCCCGATCGATTCTTTATCTTTCGACTTGTGGTGTTATCCCAGTCGATTCTGTAAGACTTCTGAGCATAATTTTGTAAGACTTTCGAGCATGATTTCTGTAAGACTTCTGGGCATAAATTCGATTCATGGTGTTATCCCGATCAATTTTTTATCTTTTGACTTGCGATGTTATCCCAGTCGATTCTGTAAGACCTATGGACATAATTCTGTAAGACCTTCGGGCATGATTTCTAAGACCTTCGGGTATAATTTTGATTCGCAGTGTTATCCCGATCGATTCTTTATCTTTCGACTTGTGATGTTATCCTAGTCGATTCTGTAAGACCTTCAGACATGATTCTATAAGACCTTCGAGTATGATTTCTAAAACGTCCAGGCATAATTTTGATTCGTGATGTTATCCCGATCGATTCATTAATTTTTTTTATTGGTAGTGTTATCTCAGTTGATTTTATAAGACCTCCAGACATAACTTTCAAGACCTTCAGACATAATCTCTAAAGCCTCTGTGCACAACTTTCAAGACTTTTAAGTAAAAGATTTTTAAATTTTTAAAATTTCATTGCCTCTGATTAAGCGAAACATTTAAAGATTTTGATTCCTAAGACCTCTGGGCATAATTTCGATTCCCGATGTTATCCCGATCGATTCTTTATCTTTCAACTTGTGGTGTTATCCCAATCGATTTTGTAAGACCTCCAGGCATGATTTCTAAGACCTCCAGGCCTAATTTTGATTCACGATGTTATCTCGATCTATTCATTATTTTTTTGATTGGCGGTGTTATCCCAGTTGATTCTATAAGACCTCCGAGCATGATTCTTAAAACCTCCAAGCATGACTTCTAAGACCTCCGGGTATAAATTCAATTCGCAATATTCTTTCGATCGATTCTTTATTTTCTGAACTTGAGGTTTAGTCCTAGTCGTCGTTAATCTTTGACTATTGGTATAATCCCGATCATTTCTATAGTTTCTCTAACTTGCGATTTAATCCTAGTCTCTTTTATCTTTCTAACTTACGGTTCAATCCCAATTGTCATCAATATTTGGCTCGTGGTTTAATCTCAGTCATTTCATTATTTTCCTGACTTGCAGTTTAATCCCAGTCTCTTTTATCTTTCTAACTTACAGTTCAATCCAAGTTAACTTTATTCTCTAACTCGCGGTTTAATCCCGATCTCTTTATTCTTCGATTCGCTATTCAATCCTAATCTCTTTAATTTAAAATCACAGTTTAATCTCGATTGTTGTTATTTTCTAACTCGTGATTTAATCTTGATCTTTTTATTCTCCGATTCACGGTTTAATCCCAATCTCTTTAATTTGAACCTGTAGTTTAATCTCGATTGTTGTTGTCATCTTCTGACTCATGGTTTAATCCCAAACTTTTTATTCTCCGATTGTCATTTCAATCTTGATCTCTTTTAATTTAAAATATGTTTATCTCGATTGTTATTATTCTTGAAAATGTTTAATTGATCTATTCTCTATCGGAGATTTATCCTACCTTAGTATTCTCTGTACCGTGGTTATCTCATCTCTTTTTCAATTGATTTAATCCAAGTTACAATTAGATCTTGTTTCTGACCCAATATCATCCGATCACTTCTTTATATTCACTTTCTGATGTAGTGAATCGATTGTAGGTTCATAACAGATTTGGCATATTGACTATTTAAAAAAAGATAATTACAAAAGAATCTTGTTTTCTAATTCCTGATTTATAAATGGAATGAGTAAGACCTTAGATTATGGTTCAACTAATAAGAAATAATAATAATTTAAATTTATTTAAAAAATAAATTTAATTTTATAAAAAAATGAAAAAACAAAAAAAGAGAAACAAAAAACGACAGAAAGCAAGGCGACTGATGCCTGGCACCAGCCACCACTAGCTACCCACACTCACCAGTCTACAGCCACCCTACAGCCACCACCTGTTCCCTTTTTGAACTCCTTAAAAACCCCTCAACTTTTTTCCCTTGGCTTGGCGAACCCCTTTTTCCAAAAGCTCTTTCTAGGACGCTCAGGAGCCCTTTTTTTACCTCATACCAGAAATCACCAAGCTCATAACCTCAAAACACTTTCAACAACCTAGACAGAACCCTCATCCTCACATATAAAAAAACCCTTAAATTAAATCCCAAACTCCAAAACCCAAACCCTAAAATCTCCAAACTCTAAAATCAAAACCCTAAACCTTCCATATCCTAAAATTCAAGCCTTAAAACCCTCTAAACCTTAAAACCAAACCTTCAAAACCTCTACTCAAGCCCTTACTCAAAACCTCCTAAAAATCCTAAAGACACGTGTGAAAATTTCATTTGAAGCAATTTGTTCCCGAATGCCATCTAGATGATGGGGTATTTAGGAAATTTTACCTCGTTAAGTCTTTTCATATGATTTCTTAATTCGCATTAATAATAAGATTAATAAATAAAAAGTATAACAGTAAATTGGGATCTTAAATATAAACAGTCACACCTAAGCTCTGCCTAGATGTTGGAGAGTCGGGGTGGCCTCATTATACTTAAGAATTTAACTTTTAAATTACATCTCATCCTACATAACATTCATTGGCATACATACGTTAGTATGTTATTATCAATATTTATTTGCACTATTCTATCTTTAATTTTTATTTACTACTTGGTGATAAAATATTTTATAATAAAAAAGAATAATACATTTAAAAAAAAATTTGTGATATTATAAAATAAAATAAAAATAACATTCCGAAAGAAATAATTCTTGGTACTCTGCCTAGATATTGGAGAGTCACCAACAATTTTCTATAAAGAGTATTATTTCATTTTAAGGATTGTTGTGTTAAATCTTAAGTAAAAAGAGTTATTTTGAATTATGCCTAGATGCTGAAAAATTTTAAGATAATTCTTTAACTTAAAGATTTTTTCAATATTTTTAAATAAAAATTTTTAGCAAAATTTTATTTTTCCAAATGAAGGAAATTAGTGTTAAATTTTAAATTAAAATCATTTTTATCAAACATCGAAAATAACGCGTAATTAAATGGTATTAATTTATGAGCGTTGTGGGAGTGCTAATCCTTTTTCACACGTAACCGACTTTCGGATCCAATTTGATTTTTCATAAATCGAAATTTATCTTTTTGATAAACTTTAAACCCATTTTTATAGTTTTATTAAAAAGATAAATTTTTGGGTAGTCAATCACACCCTAACAAAAATTGATAATGATTCTCTTTTATTTCTCTCGATTTTATAACACTTTACGTTTGACGATCCCAAAACCATTAGATCTGTTTCATAACCATGGTTTCCAGATTCCAACTTCCAAACGAAGAGGAAGAAATATATTTATCAATCATTTTTGTCCTCCAATGAATTAATACCAAGCTAGGCTACAGGTGTAATTTCCTGATCCGAAAAGGAATCTATCTCTCTCCTGACCTCACACAATTAAGCCTCCTTCACTCGTCAGTCCCCACTATAAATACCCCCCACCAGCCTTTGCTCCCATTGTGCCACCGCTACTCCTCAGCACTTTCCAATATTCTCTCTTTTCTCCGCTTCATTTGCATTACTATCAAAGCTTTCTGCAACCCTTTTTCAGCTTATATCAAACAATGTCCCTCCCTGTAACACAAAGGAAAACCCTCCCTGATGCCTGGGACTACAAGGGCCGCCCCGCTGAGAGGTCCACGTCCGGTGGCTGGACCAGCGCTGCCATGATTCTAGGTCTTTCGTCATCATCCCTCAATTTGAATGTTGTTTTGCTTTGTTTTAAATTCCCTTATCCTTTGGCTATGGCCTAAACTTTTTTCTTTTTTGGGGTATCTCTCAGAAGTTGAGACATGTGAGAGGCTAACAACGTTAGGTATCGCTGTTAATTTGGTGACGTATTTGACGGAAACCATGCATTTGGGCAATGCTACCTCGGCCACCACCGTGACCAACTTCCTTGGCACATCTTTCATGCTTTGTCTGCTCGGTGGTTTTATAGCAGACACGTTTCTTGGCAGGTTTGGCATCCTCACCAACTCTCATAGAATACTTTTGTGGTTTTTCCTTCCATGCACTTCTCTGTTCAGTTATTGACATTTGTCTTCTTTTCAATTCGCTCCTTCTATTCACAGATATCTCACGATCGGAATCTTCGCCACCGTTCAGGCAACTGTACGATTCATTTCCTTTGATTGAAGCAACATCTTAATTTACTTGAAATTCCCCAATTGAAGAAGCTAGTATCTTCCTAAGTGCAACGTCCCAGCTTTTGCTTAACCTCCGCTTTTGATGACTCACGTTAAAATTAATTCATTTTTCATCTTATTTTATACCTAGCTATTATCATAATTTCTATCTTAAATGTAAAGCTAAAGTTCATTTTGTTTCCTTCTTATGTTGTTGGTGAGCAGGGCGTCACCATTTTGACAATCTCAACAGTAATCCCAAGCCTAAGGCCTCCCAAATGCACCAGGGAGAGCGCCACAATTTGCACCCCGGCAAGCGGCATACAACTCATTATTCTCTACTTAGCCCTTTACCTGACAGCCCTTGGCACTGGCGGTCTCAAATCAAGTGTCTCAGGGTTTGGGTCAGACCAATTCGATGAGTCGGACACTGAAGAGAAATCCCAGATGACAAACTTCTTCAACTGGTTCTTTTTCTTCATAAACATAGGTTCACTTTGTTCAGTGACTATTCTGGTGTACATCCAGGACAATTTAGGGCGTGAATGGGGCTATGGAATTTGTGCTTGTGCTATTGTGATAGGGTTGGTCGTGTTTCTATCGGGTACTAGGCGTTACCGTTTCAAGAAATTGGTTGGGAGCCCATTGACCCAAATTGCCGCAGTGTTTATCGCTGCCTGGAAGAAGAGGCATTTGGAGTTGCCATCTGATTCATCGTTGCTTTTCAATATTGATGATGTATCTGAGCAGGGATTGAAGAAGAAGAAGCAAAAGTTACCCCACAGCAAGCAGTTCCGGTTAGTCTTCTATTTAAAACAAATAATCTCCAACTTCAACTATAAACTATTTTTTTTTTCCTCTTTTCGTCACTGATGTTTTATAAAATGGTGGATATCCATTTCTAAATGACGAACAAATTAAATGATACAAAACGTTAAGGCATAATGAAAAGTAATATTTAAACCCTTTTTTTCTTTTTATCTTTGTATTTTTTTAATAAATGTAATTTAATATTTTATTAATAAATCACATATCTATTATCTATCATCTCAAATTTTCAGTATAGTAATAAATCAAGAATAAAGAAAAATGGGACCACAAATTTTGATGTTAATTCCTACTTCTAAATAATCGAACACGACGGAGATTGAAAGTAGTATAGTTAATTCGGAACACATGCAATGTTAATTAATGTCCCAATATGAGGTTAGGTGTGGGCAGCTAAGTTATCTTTTTTTCTGGTGGGTCCAATATGATAGATTATATCGTCAACCAGTTGGGTATACATGCAATCAAAGAGTAAAATTATTGAATTTCTAGGGTTCTTGATATGCAATTGACCACCTTAGCCCCAGGATCTTTATCACTACTAGTCATCTAATTCATGAATCTCCCTATTCATTTTGGCTTTGTTCTCTTTTGCCTTTCAGTCTCAGATTCAAACAAAAGTTTTTATTGGACACCACACATGCAACTAAACATGTCACTGTGGCATATATATAAATATATATATATATATTTCATGGCCTCAATTCTGATCTGCTTTTCCAATTTTTCACAACCAAAAGACAAAATATTCAATTCAAAGAAATAAAAACAAGAGTAAAATTCCCCTATAAATTAAGCAAGAAACAAATTTGTACAATATATATACATCCCAAAGCTATTATTTTCCCTTTAAAAATAAGAAAATTTAATGTTATCAACAAGAAATTCGGTCTCACCTAGACCATAAAATATGTGGGTGTTTAAGATAATTAATGATTAAAAAACATGGGGATTGAGACATTGTGTATGAATTATTGAAGTATTTTCTTGTAGAGGAATAAGGAAAGAGATATCGAGCTACTGACCCAGACTGTCTCCCAATCGATCCTCATGAATCTTATCTTCAAACAACCACTTTACACCTTCCCCAGCTAATACTAAGACACATTGGCTTTAGTTGTCCAAAGCCCCTTCTTCACTAGCCTTCCATCATTCTCTATAATAGAAACCAGATCTTTTTCAGCACTTACTTTTTTATATTTTTTTGGCTTGATATTGGGCATAAAATTTTTTTAAAAAAATCACACTTGAAATAAAATAAAAATAATACTACTATATAGGCACCAGATTCTGTTTGGTGGGTTCATAATTCCATAGCCAAAGATTTACGTTCCCTCACCGTTTTAATGAGAATAATAAAAATGATTTACATCTTCACAAATTGAAATCAAAACTGAAATGACAAGAAACAATGACATTTCATGATACCTTGTAAAGAAAATAAAAGAAAAGTAATAGTTTTCTAAACGTGTTTGGTTGGAAATATGCAAGAATGATTAACTTCGGCTGGTAATCATGAAAAAGTTGATTACAACCTTTTTTTATTAACTAATTTTTTTCATGGCTTCATTATTTGTGTACAGTTTCTTGGACAAGGCAGCGATCAAGAACCCATCTGTTCCTGAGGCAAACATAGCAACCTTAACAGATGTTGAAGAAGTGAAATTGGTGCTAAGAATGTTACCCATTTGGGCAACCACTATCATATTTTGGACCGTGTATGCCCAAATGACAACATTTTCAGTGTCTCAGGCGACTACCATGGACCGTCACATTGGCAAATTTCAAATCCCACCAGCATCACTTACAGTTTTCTTCGTTGGTAGCATTCTCTCGGCTGTCCCAATTTACGACAGACTCATTGTTCCAATTGCAAGAAAACTTCTCAAAAACCCACAAGGTTTAACCCCCTTGCAAAGGATAGCGGTTGGGTTGGTTTTATCCATTATTGCAATGATAGCAGCAGCATTGACGGAAATAAGGCGATTGAGAGCCGCAAGCTCACATGGACTTACAAATAATCCAGCAGCTCAAATCCCATTAAGCGTCTTCTGGCTGGTCCCTCAATTTCTGTTGGTGGGGGCTGGAGAGGCTTTTACATATATAGGGCAGCTTGACTTTTTCTTAAGGGAGTGTCCAAAAGGGATGAAAACAATGAGTACGGTTTATTTTTGAGTACCCTTTCCTTAGGATTTTTCGTTAGTTCTTTGTTGGTTACTATAGTTCACAAGGTCACTAGAAGCAATAAGCCATGGCTACCGGACAATCTGAACCAAGGGAGGCTCTATGATTTCTACTGGCTTTTGGCAATTTTGAGTTGTTTGAACCTGGCAATTTACTTGGTTTTTGCTAAATGGTATGTGTACAAGGACAAGAGGCTTGCTGATGAAGGGATTGAATTGGAAGAAGCAGAACCTACCTTCCATTAAATGAATTAATATGCATGGGAGTTTCTTGGACTGGTCAAGTCACTTTCATTAAGATTTTGTGTTTGTAACTTTATATTATAAGTCCTTCGCTGGACTTTCAATAAGTTTGAAACCCCTTTACATGTACAAAAAGAAAGGTAAAGGAGCAAGAAAATTTTCAGGCAAAAATGAGTTCTTTTTGTTTTTGTTTCAAAATGATTTCTATGCCTAGTAACTGAAAATGTATAGAAACTGAAACTCATTTCACATTGATTAGGCTGCAACTTAACGATAATATGTCATGTAACAAAACCCAATTGGTCGTTCTAGCAAGCTGACAAGGCACAAATAAAAATGATCTAATTTGAAAAGGATATATGGTGGTATACACACGTCTTTACTAGATGGTGAACACTGATCACCAAAGCAATATTTCAAGGAATAATTTGTATCGGGTTGAAAAGACAAGGATATATAAACTGTCAATTGGGCACTTACATTACACCTTGGAAAAAGAATTCAAGACTTCTCACCTACCAGGCAAAGAGTACCAGCCCAATGACAAATTATAAAGGACGATGAGAATCGGGAAAATGAGCAAGAACCCAACGAAACCCTTTTTCCAAAAGTTAAAACGAACTGATGGGGTTTGGGGATTGGGGATTGGGGTTGGCCACAGCCCACAGTTTATTCCTAGATTGGCAAATTGAATTTGGCTGTTTTTACATGTGATGAATGATAAAACATATTTTGCAAACTGTCACCGTCTTCTTTGGAAAAGCATAAATTTTTGCATGCGTTCGTCTCAATAGGCAGAATGACAGCACAAAAATCCATGGCATGGGCTGTTCCTCTCTTAAATCCGAATCGAATTACAGCCCAAAAATGTATATGATAAAAAAACTGGCACCATCTATGATATTTGCATGCAATCGTTAATCACGTGAAAAACCCTTTGCTCAACATTTAAAGGCCATATCTGAACCATAATAATAATTTAAGGGGTGCTGTCGTTGAGACTGTAAAGCAGTCATGCAAAGCAAATTACTTCAACATTCACGAAATTTAAGCCACAAAGGATTGGTGAATTTTGTTTTTGGAAGCCAATTGATTGGTGGGTTTTGATTGAACTGAAACCATACTCATATTTATTGAGGGAATTCCTTTTCATGGTGAAGCAAAACCGCCCCCGATATGTCTGATAACTATGAATGATAACACGATGCCGGGTTCTAGGGTAAGATGTCAATTTCGACTGACATTCATATCATGTGGAAATGGATATGTTACCCACAATTTTTTTTTAACTATATATAATATTTGTGTTTCTTTTGGCCAATTATTATTTAAGTTTCACTCACATTTCATAATCTACTTCCAACTATAATAACAAAATAAGACATATGGATAAATTCTTTGAGGCCCATAAAATTATCACGTAGCCAGAAACACTATAAAGGACTGACGGTTCAAAAGAGTAAGGTTGAAAGAGGCCCAATCTACTACTAACATTTATTTTTGTTTAAGAAGTACAGTAATTGTTCATCCTCCAGCTCTAGGCTCTAGGCTCTATGCTCCACCCCAATAATGAACGAATATAATACTTAAAGAAAGTAGATTTAGATGAGATGATATTACTATTGGTGATGGATGAAAAGCAAAAACTAATAAGAGTGTGAATTAAATTTAATAATATCGTTGTTTATTGGTGGGCTATGCTTGAGAGATTTCTTCAGGCCAATTTGTTTGAATTTACTAGAAAGAAAAAAAATCACTAAATAATTTTATCATTGCAACTATGCAACAAAGAAAAACTTTCTCACAAATTGATTACGAGTTTAATATATGTGTTATTAAAATTTGTTGAGAGACTTTGATATAGTAATTAACCTAGCCAGTATTAATATATAGTTATTTATTTGTTGTTTGAAGCGGGAAAGGTCGATAAGGAGGAAGGCTTGTAAAAAACAATTATTCTGCATCAACATATATCATTTTAATTTAATTCATGTCATATAATTATACATTTTTTAAATCAATTATTTATTGTAAAAATCGTTAATAAATTTATTTAAATAAATAAAGCACATGTAATATATAATAAATAAATAATTTTTTTAAATATAATTACACGATATATTTGAATATAAATGATACATGTTGCTTTGGATTAAAGCTGTATCCAAAAGTCCAATCCAAGAATCAGGGTGCTTTTAGAAATAGCTGTCAATGGTTTATATATCAATAAAGAGGAGCAAGTGTGCAAGTCGGTGGAGCAAAGATTTGTCCTTAATCGAGTCAATACAGCCAGAGGGAATCACGTGCAATTCCGAGGATTGTCCTCATTCATCGGTACGCGTACTCCTTGTTCCTGTCTCTTTTCCCTTTAATCATCAAATCCGTAGGGACATCCATAAAAGCTGAAGACGCAGGTAAAGCCAGACAGGGATGTACCACTTGTACGGGAAGGCTAAAGGATCTTCGACAAGATCGTCTGTGGATAACAATCAGAGCTGCATAACTTAATACCGTAACCCCGAATATAGGATTAAAACTCATATCATGTTTTTTGCCCTTGATCATTTCCATTTGATTATTCGAACAAGGAGAACTATAATACAATGTTTCGGTCTACACCAGCAAACACGATCCGATGTTTGAGTGATGGCAAGAATGTGCCTTTTTCCCTTCTTTTCCTTTCGTTTTCATTTATTAATTCCTAAGATGAAGATACAAATAAATATGAAATGAAATTTTCAGCCGATCGGCTCATTCAGTTTAAGGAGCTAGAATAAATGAACTATGGAGAGATTACATTTACACAAACAGGTCCCACACTAGAGAATGTTACAGAAAAATTTAGGCACTCACCTATCCATTATCTACTGACAAAAAGATCATACTCTAAGCTTGAATGTCTCTTTGCGCGACCATGTGAATATTGGTCTGCGATCTTTCCCAGACAGCTAGAATGGTAACCAGGAATCAAAGCTAACCCGAATGTTTGTTTGTCCATTCTACATGATCAGAAAATTTATGCTTTGTCAGGTGTAATAACGAACCAGCCAATTGCAGCAAAAAGCAATAGCTGGAATATGAATATTCAACTAACAATTACTATATCATTTTTTTACTTTTCCTTCTGTCTTTAACTAAAACAAGATTACTAGAGGCTTCCACACTATACACATATGTAACACGATCGAATCATTACAATACGGTGTGGTTTTGAATTTAATGCATTTACTCACCTAAAATTGAAGTCAGGATCGCTCAGAGGAATCAACAAGTTCTTCATTGAATTCGCCAAATATATTTGGACATCCATCCCATTTCCCCTGATCCCTTGCCTCCCAATAACCGCCCACATAGTGGAAAGATCCATTTTCACCATCTCTCTCGAACCATCTAGGCTTCCACCCATTTTCTTGTAGTTTTCTCGACTGTGCAAGAGCAGAGGCAGTGTGAAGATCAGCAGTAAAACAATAATCAAAATTGGGCCCTACCTAGAAATAGAAATTGTTATCAACATGTCTTTTAATTGGGTATAGAATCTAAAAATTTTCTATGACAGCAATATATTCATGTCACGGGTTTCTCACTGCAGTAAGAGTTGCCTCTTGCAACAAAATGTTCTAAACCAGTACTAATCAGTTGTAACTGTATGTTTGGTATAATTGGTGTATAAGTTATGACATAGCTATTGATCCAACTGAATAAAATTTTATTTGGGCAAACAAAGCTCATATATGAATAAGGGGAGATGAGTTTTACTGATCAACTAGCTGTCCATGACAAATCTCCTCCCCTCATGTAAGAACTCTACAACTGATGAAACCACATAAAGAAATAACAACTCAACAACCACCATATTATGCCACAATTAGTTTCCTATTTCCCATGCTATTATCAATTAGAATTAAGTGCCATTATTTTTCAGTGAACATTGACACGATATCCACATATCCATTGTGCTTTGTACAAAATCATTCGATGGACATTGCAGATATCCAGAATAATTTAAGGTGGTGGGGTAAAGTTGTCGATTTTCCCTGTAAATTAATGGGATTTTCTTATCAACTTTTTACTAAGAAATAACTACTGACCATAATAATAGTTATTGTTTGAATCTACAGTTCTGAAATTGACATCTCACTGTCATTCAAATTTCAGGCCTAAAAGATATTATGAGAAACACAAACGTTAGTTTTACGTTAGTTTTATTGAGGGTTTTTCATTCGTGTGTGCATGCGTGAACAAAAAGACAGGGCAAAAGGCCAACTTTTACTTCCTAAACTTGAACTGCACGGGATTGTGTAGTTAAAATTGAATCTTTTGATATCACTGATTGTTCTCGCATGTGATCCCCTAAAATAAGGCTCAGTCCAATTCCAGAACAAACACTTCATAACATAGGCAATTTATCTAAATTAGATTTAAATAATAAATTTGAATTAAATTGAAAATATTGACAAGATATAGAAGCCAAGATGCATAAAACCAAACATTGAAGAAGGTTTTTCTGGCAGCAACAACCCATTGACAATGCGTCCGTTCAACACCATTTGTCAGCAAACAAATGCATGAGCATAGATACATGAAAATCAAGAAGGTGGAAACATACCATTCTCTGCCTCCTTTCCAAACGTTGTTTCTCTGCATTTGCTCTATCATATTCCCCATTCTCCAAATGACGTTGGTCTGGTCTAAGCCTCGAATCCGTGGGTGGGAGCTTCTCCTTAATCCGTGATCAAATACCCGGAATCAGACAAAGCTATAGAAAACAATTAGATATGCATAAGAGGAAAATGAAAATGCTTATGAGAAAGTGATGCAATACATCATCTCTACCTGCAGTCCTGGCGTTAGCTCATTTAGTGTGATTGCAAATGATGTTAAGTTGTAGCGAGTCAGATTAGGAGGTGGCTTGTTCCTCTTCCATAGCAAGGAGGCATTTGATGAAGGATTGCAGTCCTTTGGCTTGCCACTTCCATCACCACTGATATAATACATGCTGTCATCCCACTTGCCAACTAATGTTGAAACCTTTTTACCCGAAAGGTCTTCAACAAACCCATGAACCTAAGTAAATGTAGGACAGGATAAACAATTACTAAAGAAAATCTCCTTTTAAGACACAGAAGGTAGATTAATATGGACATTACGCAATCAAGCAAGGATAAAACAATTGCACAGGTAATCCATTTTCCAGATTGGGAGAAGAATAACTGAATTGGGTACAAGAAAAAAACTTAAGAAACAGTTAGATTGACAACTAACTTGGTGAGGATTCCGGTCAAGAATTGACTGCTCTTTGAATTTGAGTTTGCATGAATATTGGCGATTCCCATGAATGTGCATCAATCCATGGTGATCACAATATACTTTACCAAGGATAAGATTGTAAACGGTAGTTGTTACCTGCAGAGAATGAAATTCGAATAATTCATAACATGCAAATAAAAATGGAAGCTAGAATATGGAAACACCTAAGCAGCACATCCAGTAAATACACAGCCCAGTAGGGCACACCTTGCTCCACTGAAATATTTCACCATCATCAAACTCTAGCGTCAGAACTCCAACAGGATCAAGCTGAATTGACCGCCCCCAAAACTTTGTTCGGAGGTTACTGTCACCCCAGAATTTCCACCCTTTACCTTCACAATGACAGGCAATAAGGGTTGGGTGGTGACTAACCTGTTTCAACTTGAAAGGTAAGTCATCTATGCTATGGAACTTAAATACAAATATTTGCACATCACATCCAAATAAAGAGAAGCAACTACTTGGGAAGGTGAGTAAGTACTCCTAGGGCATATAGAACTAGTATAATTACAGTTTGCTTCCTAAGTTCGAAAAGACACTTTTGCAATGTTTCTATTCACTGTTTTGAGAACCTCAAACCAATAATTGTTTGAACATGAAACATTCCTTCCTGGAACTATCCAGGGAATTCTCGTTTTCCAGATAAATGGTTCAAAATATTATTCAAGACCCTTTCATTGGCAACAATTTCCAACGTCCTGATTATCCATAATAAAGAAGAAGATGATGACAGTGGTTTCCTCTTTCTTCTTCTTGTTTTTTTTTTGTAAAAAAATATCCTTTATTTTGTTGTTTAAAAGCATCTACGCTGCTTGAAGACATGTCATTTTATTCTCAAGGCTGTTTTTATTTCAGTTACCAAAGGGTATGCAAAAGTAAACCATCAAGTTGACCTTTTCCTAACTGCTAAAAATTCAAAAGCACTCGATTAATCAAAATATAAAAATTCCCAATTTGTCAATTTCAGTTTAACATAAGGCTGCATGTTTCCTTATATGAAGTCAACCGTATTGATAGATCTTGAAGACTGACCTTCTCAGAGAAGAACCGAACTCCTTTCTCAGGATAGTCCGCTTCATAAGTTTCTCCTAGTAAAGGATTGAAGGGCTTACAGTGTCGGCCTTCAGAAGAAGCATACCCAGAAACAGCAAATGCAGCAACATTAAGAATACGCTGGAGACTGTTCCCCTAAGAATATAACAGAAAATCCAATTAGAGCACACAATCAGATTATGGAGACAGAAAAGCAAGAGCACCAGCTGTTCATGAAACCTTTAAGCATCCCAACATCACCCTCAGAAAGGGAGCAAGGAACAACTTGCTACGAAGGGTAAAAGAGAAATTTCATTATGTTGTTTATAAAAGGCGAAAATATGTTTTAAAGCTTAAAAAACCTTCGTACAATCATTAATGATTCAATAATTAGCTCAAATATTATGTCCTGGCCAGAAAAACATATATACGAAAGGTATAGAACTGTGTACATCTACAGACTAAAAGCAGCTAGGAATTCAGCCCAATATATGGCAAGTGAAAAAGGGGATGATCAGCCTTCTCATACTTAGTTAATTTAGCTAGACCTTTCTGATACTTAGTTAACTTAGGTACATCTTTCTGCACTCAGTAACCATTTTCTTAAAACTCCTATCCCACCCCATCACAGAGACACAGAGAGAGAGGAGATCTGTTGTTTACACAGTGGCAAGTATACATCCTGCAGTATCTTCAGTAGCATTTTGACAGATTATCAGCGTCACTCAAGACAATATCAGTTAAAAGCAAACAGCCATTTTTCAAATTCTAAAAGTCCTCATGTTGCAAATTGTTTGAAATGATAAAATATTAATATACCCTAAGAAAAATAGTGCATATATCAAGAGAAGCATGGAATATTAAAGATGAATAACGTACTTCTTTTCCATGCTTGTATGCTCGGTCTAAAAGAAAAGAATATTCTAGGTCCTCAAAACATTTCTGAAGGGATGATATTGGTTCATTAAAGTATACAGGGAGACAAACTCGTGTGAGATCCTTTCCCACATTGTCTTTGATCATAGACCAAAGGCTAACCGCTTTCTCTTTTTCAACTGGATCAGGAAGCTTTTTTCGCCTTTCAATTTGAGGATATCTGGAATCACATTCTCCGTTATGAGCATGCATCTTTTCCAAATTATCAAATTGATTTTCAGTTTCTTTCTGATTATCTGCATGATCAGCTGCCCCTCTTACAGATCCACAACGAACAGTGGGTTCAGTAAAATCCTCTTTTGTGTCATAGAAGGAAGTTTCATCTTCATCAGACACTTCCTCAAGCTCTTGTTTCTCAATATCATCAGATGATTCAGTTGTGCTGCACTCTGAGAACCCAAACAAGATGTCAGGCTATAAGAAGGCAAGAAATTAGTAAAAAGAAACAGAGGTTGATACTACAATAATTACTCATTGCAAACATTTCTGGACCTTTCATTTCAGTTAACATGAAAATGATGCTGATGAATAAGGACAAAATGACAGGAAATTGCCATTGAAACTTTGGATAATCAGAAGGCATTCTTACTCAAGAAAGCAAATCTGAAACTATATGATATTATTTCGCCATGTAGTGCTACCATGTATTTGATTATAGGTCTGTACAAAATGACAAAAGACTACCTTCCTTGGCGAAAACAATTTAAACAAGGTGTCAGACATTTATGCAGCCAAAGTTACAGATAGGGTATGTACCACTATATTTTCCACGCCCTATACTGGAATATTCATGCTTCGTCAACTGGTAGTCTCCATCATGAATTCCAGAAGTTTCAGCTTCAATATTAGCTGGCTGCACTTGCAAAAAAAAACTTCTCAGTTTACCATAAACAATAAAGCTTAGCACAATGATGCATACAATGAAGCACAAAGAAATGACATGTTATTATGCAATTTAATAAAAGAACCAAAAATTTAAAAGATAAGATAACTAAAACCAACAATAATTAAGACAACATTTTAAAAGATAAGTACAACACTATTTAGAAATTCCCCCAGTATATTTATTAGGAGTTTGTCAATCAACTTGGGATTCCATTTATAATTAGGATTTAAGGTAAGTACCTATAATCTTATTTACCAGGAGGACTAAAACTGCAACAGAAATACTTGTTACCATTATGTCACAAAATGCAATACAAAGCATTCTAGTAATTAAGTTGTTCAATAATGATGCCAATCATTGAAACACCACAAGAAGAACTCACTTTAACACTAACAGTTCCTTGCAAGAACTGAGGCAATGTGGAGAACTTCTTGATGTCTAAGTCCCAAACACGTATTATTTACACTATAGGGAATATAGGCTAGTAAGTTCTAGCTTCAACCCATGCATTATCCCTCAAAGCAGTTGCAAGTTTACAGCTATGACAACATTGTCTCCGTGTAGATTGAAAATGCAAGGGCTTTCGTATAGAAACTGATTAAGTTTCAAAACAATTTGCTAAGGAAAGTTCACAGCTTTGAGGGTGGCCAGGAATCAGATATAGTGTGGATGGGAATACATATAGAAAGGCCAGCTAATCATTCCAACAACCACCAAAACAGCTAGGCTAACTTTAATGGGATGATGCTTACTCGACAAAAGAAAATTTATGCAATTATGGCCCAGGGCTGACATGTGAATTTATAAGATTGTATTAGTGATGCATTAGTGATATCTAATTCTAGAAACCACTATAAATCCTCTCTAGAATATAGGGATTGAGTTAAATTGTCTAGAACACATCAATAAAAATATAAGTAAAATGTGATTAAAACTTCATAAAACCCTAAGAATTTATAAGAGACTTTAGTAACATCAATTTCAACCCTGATAACTGATGGGAGGTTGGAGATGTGATGTTGGGACAACATGAGAAACAATCTTGAAATGAAAAAATGGAAAACTAGAGATGAAGTTTATAACCACGCAAAATTTTATAAATTATACTCCAAAAGCAATGAGAAACAATTGCAAAAGCAGAATCAGTTTTAATCGATCACTAAACTAACTACCCTCCATTATCTGTCAATTTATAGCCTGAAGAAAACCCATCAGCTCTCATGCATCAAATAATAGATTCTTTTTTTTACTATTGACCAGAATCATCGCTGTACATACCACTAGCAATAAACACAACCACATGATAGTTTCCATCTTGTAACTGAAGAATATTACTGGTTTTATTTTTGCTTGGCCTCCATACTCACATTCGTCAACAGTAGCTTTTTCTTCCAATGAAATAACTATCATTCACTTTAAATCAAGGATCAATCAGTTGCGCTAACTACCAACCTGAGCCTGTCTGAGACTTGTCACTCTCTTTGTACAAAACACCATAAAATACGAAAACGAAATGCTATTTTATTATTTCATTTCATTAGGTTGAACTTGATAGAGGTCTAAGTCTTACTAAATTGATTTTAACTCTAATTCAGAAGGAAAAATTTTATTTTAATTCACCAAAATATTTAAGTTCAAAAATTTTATTAAAAAAAAAAAAAATGAATAACCAAAGATCAAGCACTTCCATTCAAAGGCAAATACTAATTAGTAATTTCACATTACCTCAAACTGCCTTAATGTGTCGAGCAAATTAGATCTTTCTTCACAAAGAACTTTAAGCTGTCCTTGTATCTCCAAGAACTCTGAAAGCATAATCTGCTCGCAATCCTTCACAAGGTTATCACTGATTCCCTCCTCAAGCAACCGTTTCTTGAGCCTATCAGTTGATATAGACAAATCATGGGGTACAAGGGAGTAGTTATCATTTAGCGGTCTCAGCGGAAAGAGGCTCCTGGTTGATACCAATGCTTGTATCCAAGCAACCCGATCTCTCTTAGAATCAGTTCTCAAATGAAGGGTCTTTGTAGCAGTGAAAATGTAAAACCGCCTGTCATCAGATTTGCTCTCCCGGAATGATGAGATCTGCTACAAAAATTCAATTAACAGCCCATTGAGTTATGCACGATTTCCATTACAGAGGTATGATCACATTGATCACCATGAATTTGTATGCTCTCGTTTCATGATCACATAAAAGAAATTCACAGAATAAATGCATGAGTGAAACATATATAAAAAGTCCATTTCCAGAAATAAAAAGGAATAAATGATATCAATTCATGATAATGCAAGTTGAAAAGCTCAAAATTAAAGCTTTGCATGTCTCGCCAGGATAGGAACATTATTGCTGAAAATTTTCTAGACTCAGCCACAAGAAAGAAGAAAAAAAAAGAAAAAGAAAGAATATCTGAAACTTAGTCCGCCGACCTTAGGCAATCAAGGTAACCTCAGCCGGAGCCAACGCATTTACCATCAGAAACCAGATGGTTACACAAAGTAACCAGACTTTTAAAGTTTCTAATAAGAAAAAAATTGTTTTAGCAACAAATAAATAAATAAACTCAGCTGAAAGAAAAAAAAAAAAAAAACCCAAAATTCATCACCGAAGCCCATGCTACCTTTTGAGCATTACAACTGTCTAGGGATAAAACAAAGACAAAGAAACAACATTTGGATCTACTCGTGCTTAGAAAAATATACTTAAAACGATTCGAGAAGAAATGTTATCACATATATCCTTTCAGTTTTCCCGTTTCTATAGTGTTCAACATAAAATTGTATACAAAATTAACCAGTAGAGCCCCCACCTACTAGTCTCAAGTCCCCACGCTTTCTTTTTCTTTTGTCTTTGTTTATTTCACTAAAAAATTCAAACCAAACGCCTTAAAACTAGAAAAGACCATTTAAAAAAATTAAATAAAACAAGAAGTTACCTCTCTATTACGATACAAAGAATACAGAACTCAAAAAAGGACGGCAACAAACAAAAACCCACTTCGATTTTTCAGAGAAATTCTCCATTCTCATAACCATTCGATTTATACATCGTTTATCATTTCTTTTCCTTAAAGAAAACGTGAACCGTCTTCAGTCATCACCTTGAGTGAAAAAAAAAAAGAGTATGTTGAGACACAACTAAAGCGGCTGGCACGCAAACGGAATACGCAATAAGTTGACGAGAAAGACGAGAGAATCCGATAAAGCGTGGGAACTAAAAAAAAAATGCCGAAACATCAAAAGCGACAGAAGGAAAATGAAGGAGCACATTTCAAGTTGTTGAATCGTTGTTGATCGCTTTAAAACCTTCAACCAATTATGAATACAGATTAAACGATGATGTGACCACAGCTTAATACCTAGACCTACTGCATACTCTATTACAGCCCTCCAAACCCACCTGCTGATGTGACCCACTCTACATAAACAACCAGTTAAAACTGTAAAAATATATACTAAAAAACAATTCTTGTATTTTATTTTTTTCTGAAGTTAAACATGAAATTTGAAAATCACAAATCAAAATAGAAAGAAAGTGAGAGAGAGAGAGAGAGAAAAAAAAAAAAGAGTCCACAGAAGAGATTTTTGAGGGTCTTCTTACAAATCACAACACTAAACTACATGCTGAACAATGCAAGAAACCAACGGTTCTTGCTCTTCAATTTCCCCCTTTTTATTTTTTGTTATTCTTTAGCTCAGATATCAATGCCTCTATTTTCTGAGTTTATTTCTTCAGATGCAAAATTTCAGGGCACTAAAATTAGTACAAAATAACATAATTGGTAACACTTCAGTTAAATTTTTTGAATAAAAAAATAGCTATATATTAGGAACTCTTTCTAAGAAAAAATTATATTACCGCCAAAACGGATCACTTTGATCATCTATTTCTATTGGTTAATTTTTTTTTTCTTTTGAAATTTTTGAAATTGGATTTTCTTTTCTGATATATATATATATATATATACCTTTAAATGAATAATGCCAACGGTTTTCTGGTGTTTCCGTCTACCGCTACAACTGTCCATCCTCGAAAGCCGATTGGTTGAGATATCACCGATCAATCTGACGTCATCTGTCGGAGAGAGGAGGTTTAGAGTCTCGGCCCGGCGAATCTTCGAGTAAGATAACACTCCATTTCGAAGCAAAAACCACCTGGATCTCCATCCTTTCCCGTAATTTGTCCACTTGTAGAGAATTCCGGCGACGATGCCTCTGGATCCTCCCGTAGTCAACCTCGCCGTCGCATTGCCTGTTTCAGATCCGGATAAAGCCCCCGCGGGCATGCTCCTAGCTAGAGTCAACGAAATCTCCGGTGACTGGTCGCCGACGCCGGGACTCTCCAACGATATACAACATAGTGGATGCATTTCCTTCACCCTCATTTTCTTCTCCGATCTCGATCACAGCCAAAATTCCCCAAAAATATAAATAGCCATTCAACTATTCACCTTTCTCCATCGACAAAAAATCGAATCAACAGCTGCAACAAACAAAAACGGTTATAACAGCGAATCAGAACACATATTATTCGCTTGAAAACAGAAAATAAACAAATTATTTAAAAAATGAAACAAAGGGTTAAAAGAAGAGACATTTGTTTTGGTGGTGGAGAAAGCCGAGTCGATAGGTGAGCTTTGTTTTGAGCTCTGAAACTGAGATTCGTAAAGGAAAGAGAAGGACAGGATTACTGAAATAAGGAGCCTATTCATGTGATTTTATTATGCTTGAAACGATCGCAAAGTTGCTACTAATAAAATAGTTTTTAATTTAATTTTTTAAATATATATATTTTTAGTAATTAAGGGTTCCCCGACGGTGTGTTGTCTTGGAAACGAAGTGCGTGCGTTTTTTAGGCTATATAGTAATTTTACAATAGTTAAAATTCGTTAATTTTTAATTATTAATTTTTTATTACAAAAATAAAAATAAATTATGAAATACCTAAGTTATGTATTTTTTAAATTACTCAAATAGGATTAATAACAAATATATTTTAAAATTTATTAAAAATAAAAAATAATCCAATTTGTAAAATTAAAAAAATCTATTAATAAGTTACCAAATAATTTAAAATAAATGTACACGGGCATGTGGTATATTTTGAGTTTTTGTGAGTCATTTGCATAGTGAGTCTTGAAAATGAATCCAACGTTAACATTGACCGTGAAAGGTATTTTCATTAAAAATGTTTGAAAAATTTTATATATTAACTAATAAAATATTTAAAATTAAATCAAATCAAAATTAAAATTATATTTACAAGATAAAAAAATGGATAATAATAATTTGAATAGGATTGATTTGATTTAATTTTTTTAGATAATATATAATATTATAAAATTTTAAATTTTGATATGATTTCGAAATGATTTTTTATTAGATCAAATTTAATTTGAATCAAATTTTATTGATTCAATTTATTTATTTTAAATGTATTATTTTAATATTAATTTTTAATATATTTAAATAATTTTAGATATAAAATAATTATTTTTATTTTATAAAATTTTAAAATATATATAAATTAATTAAAATATATAATTCAATTTTTTTTTATTATTCATTTTTCGATTTGAAATCTGATCCAAATTTAATATATACATTTAATATCTTAACTTACTTTGAATCGAACTAAATACTATGATTTCAAATTAATTTTTAATTTTTTTTATTTTTTCTTTACCCTTAATAAAAAGTACTAAAATCCAAAATTTCATATTTTCTATTTATATTTTGTAATTTTCAAGTAAAGAAATTTGCTACCCCCTCTATCAATTTTTCTGTTAATTCTTTTTTAAAATATCCTAAAATTATAAATTTTTAACATCTAAAACTCATTTTTTATATTTTAAAATTTTTTATGTTTTTACTTTTTGATATTAAAAATCATGAAATTTTAATTTTATAAAAATATTTGAATTTTAATATTAAATATACTAAAATCAAATTTTTTCCTAAATCTCATATAAATTAATAATACTCAAATAATTTGGGATGAAAATGAGTGTTTGTGACTATTGAAATTGTTGAACCATATAGATAAACAGAAATAATATAAATATTATTTCAAATTATTTACAACTATTTTCGTGGAATGTAGTCAGGTGATGTTTAGCAAATTTCAATAAGATAATATATAATATGGATGATCATTTTAAAGATTATGGTAATTAAATTATTATATTTATTAAGCATTAAATAATTTTATGTGATTATAATTTTTGATCATCTAAAGTAACTACCTTTGAGGGGTGATTTATTCTCATTTAAAATGGTAAAAAAAATTTATCACCATTATTATCAAAATAAGTGATACGTATAATTAATATTACTTATTTAATATGTGAATTAAAAAATTAATTTTTTTAAATTACAATTATTTTATGCTATAAATTTTTATATTTTCAAATTAATATTTATTGTAAAAAGTTCAATAATAATTTATGTGTTTTTTAATATTTTATATATAATATAATCTTTTTTTTCTTTATCATGAATTGAATAGATTAGTTTTCTTTTTTAATTGAACTTTTACATAATTTATATTATAAAATTTATTTTACTTATCAATAAATATATTTATCAATTTAATAATTTGATTATATTTTATTATAAAATAAAAAAATATTATTAATATTTTATAAATTATTATCTTTAAAAAATATTAAAATTATTAATTTGTGTAACTTATTACAACATGCATGATTATTTTTATACTTAAAAAATCATATTAATTTTTAATAATATAAAATTTAATGATTTTTAATTCATAAAAGTTAATTATTATTAACAAAATAAAATAATTTCAATCATAAGTGATATAATTATTTTAATAATAAAATTACTTCAATAATTATAATATTGTCATAACGATTTTAAGACCGTTAAACAAATTTGAATACAAATAAAATCGATACTAATCTTTTTTTTGTTAAGTACAATTAATCACCTATTAAAACTTATATTTTTAATAAAATCTTAAGATTAATTAAAATTTATTAAAAAAATAAAATTTTGGTCTATGAAAATAATTTAAGTTTGGGAGTCGATTACGTATGTAAAAGATTAACACATTTACAACGTCTACTAAAAATAGTATCAATTAATTATATATTATCCATTAATTTTGATAAAATAATCTTAATTTTGGCATTTAGAAAATAATTCCTTGACTTTTTTTTTTTACTTTTGTTATTTCACCTTTTCCCTTTTTTTTCCTTTTTTTTTTAATTTTTAATTATTTTATTTTTAAAGCTTAACCCATTTTATTTAAGAAAATAAATTAAAACTTTGTTATCGAAAGAACTCTTAACATAACATTGAAATAATTTTTTCCATCTAGGAATTTCTTAGGAATCACTACTCTAATTTTCATAAAATTTCATTATCGAAGACTTGTATTTATTTTTCATAAAAAAAGTAATATCATGCATGCTATGAAAATGACAATATATTGATGTACACTTTTTATTTTATGTTATTTTTTAAATTTTAACTTGATTTTTTAAATTTATTCGTTGTTATATTTTATTATTATTATTATTTGAAAAAAGAAAATTTTTTATCATATTGAGAATTTTTATAAATACTCCAATACGTTGGTAAAATTTTAAAAAATATTTTCAACTAAAGATTTTTAAAGTATTACTACTCAAAATACCTTAAAATCTCATCATTAGACAAAAAAAATTTATATCGTTTATTATTATTTTCTTCTTTTAATTTATTTTATTTAATAATATTTAGTTAACTTTTATTTTATTTAATAGAAAAAAAATTTTCGTTGTATTGAAAATTTTTATAAATATTCTAATATATTGATAGTATTTTTAAAAACTCTTCTCACATAAGAATTTTTAATACATCGTTACTCAAAATATCTTAAAATCTTATCTTCAGACAAAAATTTTTCTTCTTATATTTTTTTCATTATTTATATTTATTTTTCTTATTTTCTAAATAAAAAAAATCCAAAGTTTAGAAACCATTTTTTATTTGTTGGTATTATTTTCTTTAGGTGTTATTTATTATATTATTTTACAAGGTTTATTTTAGTTTTTTAACAAAATTATCAAGAATTTAAGGTTTATTATTCATTGTTTATCTTCAATTATTTTTTTGGTCTTCACTTTTATTATCATTATTATTAAAAAGAAAAAAAATGAATATTTATTCTAACAAAGTTAAAATTTTAAATATAATAATAATAATAATAACTCAAAATAATAAAATTATAATAAAAAATTAAATCAAAAAATTTTAAAAATAATAATAATACCTGAATCAAATTGGTCAATGATATGAAACAATTTGGGGGTGATTCGCTAGCAGTTTAGCGATTTAAGGGTGGTTCGAGAGCGGTTCAAACTGATTTAATATCGATTTGGTTAGGTTAATCAAAGTTGGTCAATTGCAACCTTCGTCGGGTTGGGTCGCGCAGGTTTTTGGTCGGGTTTCGGATTCACACTGGTTATCCAAAACAACGTCATTTTGATATGGCTTTCTCTTTTTCTTTTTTTTTGTAACTATAAAAACAACTTTTTTTGTTCAAATCATTTCTTCATTTTTTGCTAAAAAAAACTTAGAGCCCTAAGAAAATTCCCCAGCCTTTTCTAGAAAACAGTAGGTTACCACCATGTGCCACTACCCACCATCGCTATTGCTAATTGCCAGCAGGGTCATTGGAAAACTTCAAAAAAAAAAAAAAACACCAAAAGACTCTCTTCAACCCCTTAACTTTAGTTTTGAACTCTATTTTTCAAAAATCTCTTTCCATAAGCCCAAATCTGGACTCTAAAGATCTCAACCAAAAGTTTTTTTTTTTTTTTGGTTTTGGGTTTTTGGTTTTTTAATTCCTTGGCTTCTTTTGTTTTGTTTTGGCACTGGTTTCCTACTCCAGGAGATATGGATGTGGTTTTTTTTGTTCTTTAGACAGGTTTGGAGAAATGATTTTGGTTTTTTTTTACAGAGGTTTCTTTTTTTTTTTTTGTAAAGATTCTCCCTCATCTTTTCCTCTTTTTTTTTTTTTTATTGTTGGTTCACAAAGGTTCAATTTATAGAGCCATAATGGGGGGCTAGATCCCATATTTTCTAGGATTTTTTAAGGTTTTCAAAATGGTCGTCAGTGCCCTTTCCACTACCAAGGTGGCCACTGCATCTGAGGCCTTTATTTTTTCATTTTTGGACCTTAGCTAGGTTTCGTGAAGGTTTAGTGTTGCCTGCCACGGTGGGGAAGGAGAAGGCAAACCATGTAAGGTTTCTAGGGAGAAAGGTCGTAAGTAAAAAGGCTCGTGGGTGCTACTGTGCTAATGTCGTGCATGACACCCACAGTCACAAGTTGTCCTCTTTTTTTAATTAATTTTTAAGTAATTAATTAATGTTATTATCATCATCATCATTATTATTATTATTGCTATTTCTATTAATTTTAATTTTAAAATCTAGGGCTTTTATTTGGATTTGGGCTAAAGGTGAAACTCGGGCATTAAGCCCAACCGTCAGGGATTTTAGGCCTAATATCCACTCAATTGAGATCGAGGCTCGCTCTCGATAATTTAAATAAAACCAAATGTTTATAGCTATTCATGTTTACACATTACTGACCATTGTCAACCAATAATAACCTGGCTTCATGATTTGTCGGGCCATCATGTAACCATTTGTGTGAGCCTCACAAATCCTTTCATGCACTTCTTTTATTTTTTTTTTTTTGCCTCTACATCATTTACACATCTT